GTTCCCCGAGGAACGTGGCTCACCTGGGCCACTGCCCCCTGCTCTGCACTGGAGTGCCCAGAAGGGGGCTGAGGGGAGGGTGGGAACAAACTCCCTGCCCTTCGCCAGGCCGAGCGCCTGCTGCCCGGAGCTCCCAGCACGGCCAGACGCAGGGTGAGGGAGATGCTTCGCAGGAGACATTTGCCTGGCAGGAAGGATCACCCAAGCCTGGGGGCAGGGACACAGTGAGAGCAGCTGGGGCACAAAACCACACAAGGCTGAACAGATGAAGTAACTTTCAATCGGCCACAAGGAGGCGCTGACACTGGTGCCCCCCCCCTCCGTGGCCAGGTGTGACTTGTGTAGAGACTCTTCCCCCCTCAGCTACAAAGGCCCAGTTGCTCTGCCTGCAGTATGATCCTTTCGGGGCCATCAGAGAACTGCTGTGGGGCCACCCAGAGCCCCTGGAAAGGGCAGAGTTGCAGATGAAGAACCAGAGGCAAGTTAATAGGATAATTATGGGGAAAAGTCACTAAGCCAGTCCACACACCTGCCACTACCCGACCAACCTCTCAGCCTTAGGCATTGGTGCTGGTATCACAGCCTCCTCAATGATTTATGAAAATTGGCTGATGAATATGCATAACTTGAAGATGCTTTAGGCAAAATGCCGCATATGATATATGGTTTTTAAAATTACAACCTGCTAAATGTGTATGTTTTATTTTGGTGCATGTTAGGCATCATAAAAAAGGGATAGAGAATAATGTCAATATCATCTTATTGCCTCTGTATAAATCCATGGGATACTCACATCTTGAATACTGTGTACAGATGTAGTCGTCTCATCTCAAAAAAGATATATTGGCATTGGAAAAGGTTCAGAAAAGGTCAAAAAAATTATTAGGGGTTTGGAACAGCTGCCAAGAGAGATTAAAAAGACTGGGACTTCTCAGCTTAGAAAAGAAGAGTCTAAGGGGGGATATGATAGAGGTCTATAAAATCATGACAGGTGTGGAGAAAGTGAATGAAAAGTTTTTTACTTATTCCATAACAAGAACTAGGGTCACCAAATGAAATGAACAGGTAGCAGGTCTAAAACAAACAAAAGGAAGTTTTCCCTCGTGCAATGCACAACCTGTGGAACTCCTTGCCAGAGTAGGGATGTTAAGAGTGTGCCTAAGGCAGGCTCACCCATGGCCTTGCCCTGTAACACTACCTAAAGCTGCAAGAAAACTCCATCCCTGGTCCTGTGTTGAAAGGATACAGAATGGTATATGTTGAACCCTGACATCAGCACCCCTCTTTTTCCTCCCCTGCCGTGCACACAAAGCAGCAGACTCCCAGGCGTGGTATCAGCTGCAAGGCAAAGTGCAGGACATCCACAGCAGTGGGGGGAGGGGCATTTAAGTGCTGGCACTTGATATCCTCTTGCCCACACCAGTCATGATCACCTGACAGAGGATACAAGATCTACCAGTATATCCCTATCTACTGGTTGGTGACCACTGCCTCATAGCGACTGTCTGTCCAGGGTCAATGTGTCATATCATAAGAACATAAGAACGGCTGTACTGGGTCAGACCAAAGGTCCATCTAGCCCAGTATCCTGTCTGCCAACAGTGGCCAGCACCAGGTGCCCCAGAGAGGATGGACCAAAGACAATGATCAAGCGATTTGTCTCCTGCCATCCTTCTCCAGCCTCTGACAAACAGAGGCCAGGGACACCAATTCTATCCCCTGGCTAATAGCCTTTTATGGACCTAACCTCCATGAAATTATCTAGCTTCTCTTTAAACTCTGTTATAGTCCTAGCCTTCACAGCCTCCTATGGCAAGGAGTTCCACAAGTTGACTACACGCTGTGTGAATAAGAACTTTCTTTTATTAGTTTTAAACCTGCTACCCATTAACTTCATTTGGTGTCCTCTAGTTCTTCTATTATGGGAACTAATAAATAACTTTTCTTTATCCGCCCTCTCCACACCACTCATGATTTTATAGACCTCTATCATATCCCGCCTCAGTCTCCTCTTTTCTAAACTACAAAGTCCCAGTCACTTTAACTTCTCTTCATATGAGACCCATTCCAAACCCCTAATCATTTTAGTTGCCCTTTTCTGAACCCTTTCCAAGGCCAAAATATCATTTTTGAGGTGAGGAGACCACATCTTTACACAGTATTCAAGATGTGGGTGTACCATAGTTTTATACAGGGGCAGTAAGATATTCTGTGTCGTATTTTCTATCCCTTTCTTAGTAATTCCTAGCATCCTAGTTGCCTTTTTGACCACCGCCGCACACTGTGGAAGTTTCAGAGAACTATCCACGATAACTCCAAGAACTCCAAGAGAAAATGAGGCTGCCTGAAAACATGGCGAAGAGCTGTTGAAGTTGAGCTGAAAAAACCAGGGGCACAGCTAGCAAACCAGTGAAAAACTTGCTGGAAACAGACAAGAGTGCAGGAGCTTTGTCACTGCCCTAAGAGCTGGGGTGTAATGGGACTATGATGAAGATGCCAATGACAGACCTGGATGTGGTAATATACAGACCAAGCCCAGGGCCCCTTCCAGCAGTGCCTAAGATGTTCAGGGCACAGCAAGGAGCCCTTCATTTCTGGAAGCCTCTGACAGGTGCCATCTCGCCATCTGCTCCCACTGTATCCTGAGGGCTCCCAGCACCCCAGGCTCACAGATCCCACCTTATGGAATGTGAGCCATGTGGCCAGAACAGCAGGGAGCTCACAGCAAGTCCTAACAACAGTTAGGGTTTCAGGCAGCAAGCGATGGGAAGGAGTTTGGATGCAGGGGGACTCACGTCTGGTAAGGCACCCCCTGCTGGGCAGTGCTTACAGACAGCTGCCAGTGGGGGTCATCCACAGCCCATGCATAGCAGCCAGCAAGGAACTTACACTACACCACACCTACACAGCTGCATGTTCTGTGTGTGGGTAAGTTTGGCTTTGCTCACAGCCCTCCGGTAGAGGGCAGCTGATGTTGGTGTAAGGGTGGTGAGGCAGTTGCATCAGTGCGAATACCTCACACAGATGTGCTGGAGCTGCGTGTCTCTGATAACTTACTGCAATGACCGCCAGGGCAAGCCCCCTTCTGCACCACTGCAACACATCCACATGAGCAATTGCACTAATGTAACTATCAATGTCACGACATCAGCACAGAGGATTCCTAGTGCAGACAGAGCTGGATTCATCCCCCTCTGCCAGCTGCTCCAGGGGCCCAGTGATCAGAGATAAACCCCACCCCTGACAGTCTCTCTGCCCCTCGCCTCCGCCTCTTCAGACCAGGGGCAGACACAGCCAGGCTCATGTTCAATAGCAACAGCCACTCTCGGCACCAGCACACACCACCTGTGGAGGTGGAGGAGTCACTATCGCTGCGGGGCCTTGCACTGCAGAGGTCATTCATTGGTGGGTTCCACACAACATTAATGGCGGTATCTCTGCTCATTTCAATGACAGGCAGCACCAGCCAGCCCGTCCCTGGGCACGAGGTAAGGACACAGGAAGGCCAGGCTGGTACCTCAGGACGACAGGCTGCAGGAAGGGGGCCCAGCTCACTGCTACCCTGCCCCCACCCCGTCAATCATCCCCCCGCACACACATCCACACAGTCGGGTGTCAGTGACTGTATTTGGGGCCCAGTGAAAGTCACTGGGACCTCACATGCTCAGAGATGGGCTGGGGGAGCTAGTGTCAGTCAGACCCGACCCTCCCAGCGAGTGCCCAGGGCAGGACCTGGGAGGGGGCAGGAGGTGGCTCTGGGAGGAGTATCCCCCACGAGGCCTCAGTGCCAGGGGCAGGAGCCAGACAGGCCAGGAGGAGATGCTGTGACTGGGGCAGTTTGGGGGGAGAGGGGGCGAGGAGGAGGAATGTGCAGAAAGGGGGCAGGGAGGGCTGAGAACTCACCTGCCAGGGCAATAACTGTGATGAGGAGAACTAAGGACACGACTCCCAAGGCGACTGTACATTTGTTGTAGTTAAAACGAAGCCCTGAAACAGAGAGCCCTGTCAGTCCGGGCTGTGGGGCCACATCGCACTGACAGCACCAGGGCTAGGGCTGCCCTAGGACATACCCCATTCCGTCCCTTGCACCTCCCGCCGGATGCTCTGGGAGAGGCGCTCAGGCAGCGGGCAGGCTGGGGCTGGCAGAACAGCCCCCCCCACCACCACCACACTGCCAGCCAGGCCAGCACCAGACCAGTGAGCTCAGGGCACAGAGATGTTCCAGGGGCAGGGCCCCCCAACCCCCTGCCCAGAGCCCGTCCCCGCATATGGGGTCTCACCGGGGTACCACGCAGCCGAAGGGGGAGAAGGAGCCAGACCAAGAGGGGCCAGGGCTGTCACAGGGGGTCTGACCCACCAGCGCAAACAGCTCCTGCCCAGCCACACGCCCAGCGCTGTGTGAGCCAGGGATCAGTGCCTTTACCTGCCCCGTTACCTGACTCCACTCCAATCCCCTGTTGTCCACTGGCTCTTGAAGCAGGAGGTGCCTGCAGCGGCACTCCACTCTCAGCATCCCCAGATGCTGTTGCCATCGTGTCTCAGCCACGCTTGGGCTGGGGATGCTGCTGCAGGCGCTGGGCCGAGCCAGCCTTAGGGAAAAAGGCACCCTTGGCAAACTTGTATTTTGGTGGCCCTGCCACCCTCCCCAGGAATGGAGCCCACCCCATTTCCCTTGGCTGCCATGGGCTTCCCCACCCCTGGACTCCAATCCTGTGCCCCCTTTGACATTAACTCCTGCCCCCTACTCCAACACAGTTTCCCTAAGCCCAGCATTTTGCAGCCTTCATCCCAAATCCTGTGCTTCCCTCCCACCTGCACCTCCAACACAAGCCCTGCATTGCCAGTCTGCCTACCACACTGCCTCCCTGCTCGGTACCACTCAACCCCTCATGATCAGTAACCCCCATCCCAGTGGCCCCTCACTCAGAGATCACCATAAATCCCTATGCCCAAGGCCTTCCCACCCACAGACCCCTCACACCACTCAGCACTCCCCAAACTGCCCAGCACCCCATATTCCTGAGGGTATTTGGCATCAACAAATTAAATTTTCTGTGCAAAATATTTTAAAATTCTGCAAATGTTATCATATATATAGTAGGCCAGTGTCTGTGAGGCTGTAACGCTGTAGCGTTACTGTCTTGCCTCTGAGGGGGCGCTCTCTCCTCCCACTGTGGCGCTCGACTGACTTCTGCACCGCTTAGCCGGGCCACGATGGGGGAGCAAGTGGCGGCAAGCGGCCGTCTGGGGTCTGCGGTCCTCATGCAACACCCCAAATGGCCGCTTGTTGCTGCTTGCTCCCCCGCTGTGGCCCAGCTGAGCGCACAGAACTTAGATGAGGGCCACAGTGGGAGGGGAAGAGAGGTGGGGCAGTGACGTACATGGCCAGGGGGCCTCCCACAGTAGCACTCAGCTGAGTTTTGTGCTGCTCGGCCGGGCTGCTGCAGGGGAGCCCAAACGGCCACTTGCTCCCCTGCGGTGGCTCAGCTGACTTCTGCACTACTCAGCCGGGCCGCTGCGGGGGAGCCCAAACGGCCACTTGCTCCCCTGCGGTGGCCCGGCCGAGCAGCGCAGAACTCAGCTGAGTGCCACGGCAGAAGGAGTAGGGGGGAGGGATGGTGACGTACACACACTCAGCCCCCAGCCATGTACATCACTGGGGTAGGGTGTAAAAAAAATCGGACATCCTTGATTGGGGGTGAGAGTGGGGAGGGACTGGCTGGGAGAGAAGCAGGATGGAGGGGGTCAGAGGCAGAGTAGCTGGCCAGGGGAGAATGGGGGAGGGGCAGCCGGCAGGAAGCAAGCTGGTCGGGGTGGAAGTCAGGGGCAGCGAGGCTGGCCGTGGGAAATCAGGAGGAGGAACTGGCTGGCAGGGGGCGGGGAGAGGGAATTGGCCAGCGGGGAGCCGGACTCACGCGGACGCATGCAGATCCCAGGGTGTGGCCCGCCCCGTTCATGCATACCCGACAGAGACAGAGGAAAGCAGAAAGAGTGAGAGGCAAAGCTTGTTTTCCTCTTCCAAATCTATGAATGGAGAAGAGTGATGGTCACTGATTAACCACTCACGTCCATACTTTCTTGCAGGGGCAGATGACCGTTTTGCGGGGCCCTGGGCAGCATAATTCTGTGGGGCCCCCCCTTTGCCACAGCGCATGCGTGGGGCTTTCTGAAGCGCAGGGCCCGGGGCGGCCGCCCCGTTTGCCGTGCCATATATCTGCCCCTGCTTTCTTGTATTATCAATACATTTGGGTGAGCATGCCCACATCCATCAAAGAGAGAATTAAATTAAGGCACAGGCGGTAACCAGCCCCCTGCCAGATCCACAGAGTCACTCAGTCAGTAGCAGCTGTAGGAACAGAATCTAGGCCTGTGGTTTAACGGTTACACAGCGTTCTCCCACAGCTGGGTTCAAACTGTGTGCTCCAGACAACCACCCCTCTTTTAGTCACAAAGTTGAATAGTAACTCACATATGGCATAGATGGGGTTAATAGCAACTACCGTTGGACAAGTCCAGTTGTGTATTTGCTAGCAGAATCTGGATGGAACCTTCATTCCTTCACCTGGGCAGGAAGGAAGGAAAATCCTTATCTTCCTCACATCATTCCAAGGGAAATTATATGTCAAAGTGATTCCCTGCTCCACAAAGGGAAATGCTGCCCGAAGGGAAGAGGGTGTTGAGTAGGGATGTTTTTGCCACTAAGAAAATATATGATCAAGAAAGAGCTACAGGTGTAGAGAACCTCCCCTCTTCCTGCAAACAGCTGTCAGTGTGGTGGTGGTAGGGGAGGCAGCTGGTCTACTGAGATCTGGACTGTTTGGGCACAGCTTCCCTTCAATGTAAAAGGGCTCAAAAGGGTTGTAAAGTTACATAGGTCACCTAGGCACTGCGGTAATAGAAATCATGATGTTTCTAAATCCCCTGGATGGCTGAGAAAGTCTCACTCCCTGTAGCCAGCTCTGATGTTAGGATAGTTGGTGTTTTCCAAAGCCCAGCTCCTTAGGGTAAACAGGTAGGGGAGAATCTGAGTTTTCAGTTTTTAAAAAATGAAGTGATGTTTCCAGCCTTTGTGGATGCAGAGAAAAGTTTGAAATGTGACCTGGTTCCACGGTAGAGGCTGAGAAACCAGAAAGTAAAGAGGAGAATTCCGATTTTAAAATCTCATTTTTTGGAGTCCTGATTTATTTAGAAATGCTTAACACAGAGAGGGACAACTCAGATCCTTTGTGGCACGGGGCAGAGGGAAGCCTGTATTACACATTTAACTGGCTTCAGCCTTTAGTTCAGTTCTCTGCCTGCCTCCCCGCGGTGCTCCACTGGAGGAGAATAAGATGTAGGTGCCTGGGTCTCGTGCTGATCTGACAGTTTCAGTTTCTCAGAGAGGCCATGAGTGTGGGAGGAGCCTCCGGCTGAGTTCCTGCATCTCCCGGTCCCCACACTACAGCGCCTCTTCCGGGAGGAACTGCAGCCCTTCCAGACAATGTGTTACCCACACTCGGGCATGAGTTGTATTGTTTGGCAGTGAGTGGGAAACTGATCAAGCGGCAAGGCCATATTGACACTGACTCAAAATACGCACACAGACTCACATTTCTCTGTCTCACCGGAAAACAGTTCAAAACCTCAAAACCCACAGATCCCAGTTCAGAGTTCACCTTGCCACAGGTTGAAACCAGCTGGAGCTGAGCCAGGCACCCTGAGCCCTGCCTCCCAATACAACCCCAACCCCAGGCGCTCTGTGGTTACATCTACACTGCACATTTATTTCGGAATAAGCTATTCTGGAATAGTTAAGCATGTCACCATTAGGGAAGCCTGCCTCAGACTAATTTTGAGGTTTCCCTGCAGTGTAGACGTGCTATTTTGAAATAAGCTATCTCAATTTAGAGCCCTAGGAGGAATAATTTAGGCTAAGTCTACAGTATAGCCTTTTTTTAAAAAAAAAAAAGCTACGCAAATTGTGCTCCACAATTTGTGTAGCTTTTTCCGATTGCTTTTCTGCCGTTTGGCCTCGTCTAGATGGGGCCAAACGGAGGAAAAGCCTCCTGTTTCTGAGAAACCCTTATTTCTCATAGAACGAGAAATACAGGGCTCCCCAAAAGAAATACAGGGCTCCCCATGTTCGCTTTTCCACACAAAAAAAAGCGGAAAAATCCTGCCATCTAGACATACCCCCAGAATGGCCCTGGTGAGGGGCTATTTCGAAATAGCAGAAGTGGAGTGTCTACACACACCTTATTTTAAAATAGCTATGTTGGAACAGGCGTTATTTCTCATAGAATGAGGTTTGCAGAAGTTGGAGTAATCCGTCCGTTATTTCGAAATAACTCTATTGCTGTGTAGACACTCGCAGTTATTCCGAAATAACTTTGCTGTGTAGATGCACTGTGTGTGTGTGTGTGTCGCCTCTCTCCCTTTGTTCCGCTGCCCACCAAGCTGTTTCACGCCCTCCCACCACCACCAACCACGCCAGCCCCAGTTATCCAGGGGGGCCGCATGATCCCCTGACCATGAGGGCACTAGTGTAGCCAGATAGCTTCAACAAAAATACCTGACATGACATCACAATGGACATTCCATCTCATTTAGAACATACCCGACATTTCTATTGTCTCCATTTGTTTCCCGCACAGAAAGCTCAAATACTGGCCTGTCTGATTCAAAACCAGACACCTGGCAACCCTGGGGCACAGGGAGGGGACTCAGCTTCCCCCTCCCAGAAAACCTCCCCCTCTGGGGTCTACGTGGGGCTGGGTCGCCTCTGCATTCAGCAGTCCGGGCAGAGGGGCAAGGCAGAGGCGCCAGGACAGGAAATGCAGCCGGGCAATGGCCGGAGGCGGAAGCGGGCGAGTCCCTGCAACTAGGCAGCGAGCCCGGCTTTCCCGCTCCCTTGGAACCCAGACAGGCGGGGACCGGAGCCCTTTCCCCCCCGGCCCTGCCAAGCCCTGGCCCGGGCAGTCTCTTACCCCAGCGCTCTGGGATCTCGGGCGTGGCGCTGCCAGAGGCGGACGCAAAAGAGGAAGCCTGTTCGTGTCCCAGTGCCGGGGATGAAAGAATCACGTGGAGCCAGGAGCGGCGGAGGGGAGGAGCAGCGCGAGGAGTTTTTAGGGTTAAAGGCTTCGCTTATTGGTTACTCGTTTGCAGGGCTACAAGAAGGGGTGTTGATGGGACCATCACTTACTGGCTCGGTGCTGTCAGAGTGGACCCCTTGTCTGGATTGATCCAGGCTGAGGCTGATGGTGGCTCCCCATGTGTGCTGGTTCTGTGAAGCCACCTGCCCCCCTCCCACATGCTTCCTCCAATAAAGGCAGTTGGGGGGGGGGCGCAGGTGGGAGCCAGTGCTTAGGTAGGGAGCCAGCTTAAAAGCCAACTCCCCTGAGCACTACCTCCATGCTGTTGCCTCTGTATCAGCAATACACTGAGGGTATGTCTACACTACCACCCTAGTTCGAACTAGGGTGGTTAATGTAGTCAATCGAAGCTGCAAATGAAGCCTGGGATTTAAATATCCCGGGCTTCATTTGCATCTTGCTGGGTGCCGCCATTTTTAAATCTCCGGTAGTTCGGACTCCGTGCCCGTGGCTACACGCGGCACGGAGTAGGTAGTTCGAATTAGGCTTTCTAATTCGAACTACCGTTACTCCTCGGAACTAATTAGAAAGCCTAATTCAAACTACCAAATTCATGCCACGTGTAGCCGCGGGCACGGAGTCTGAACTACTGGGGATTTAAAAATGGCGGCGCCCGGCAAGATGCAAATGAAGCCCAGGATATTTAAATCCCAGGCTTCATTTGCAACTTCGATTGACTACATTAACCACCCTAACTAAGGAGTAACGGTAGTTCGAATTAGAAAGCCTAATTCGAACTACCAAATTCATGCCACGTGTAGCCGCGGGCACGGAGTCTGAACTACTGGGGATTTAAAAATGGCGGCGCCCGGCAAGATGCAAATGAAGCCCAGGATATTTAAATCCCAGGCTTCATTTGCAACTTCGATTGACTACATTAACCACCCTCGTTTGAACTAGGGTTGTAGTGTAGACATACCCTGAGGGAGAGACAGCTTAGCAGGCCCCAATATCAGAGGCAGCAGGATGGGGGAGCAGGCGGGTTACTGGAGCAGACCCTCTCCATGGTGGGCCTGATCCATGGGATGCCAGAGCAGCCTCTGCCTGCAGGGAGCTCGGGCACCCTGCAGACAGGGGCTGCAGGTGGGAGCTGATCTGCACAGGGAGCTGATTTTTAAGCTGGCTCCTCCTTTCACCCCGCACTGCTCCCTCTAGGAATGGGGCTGGTCATGCACTGGCTAAAAATAACCACCAAAAATTATTATGGCAACATGATTACTAAAATAAACAATATCTAACATCCGTAGTTCTGAGAGGAAGCCTTCCCCAGACATACAGTCAGGCGCTCCATCATAGTTGTGGCAAAGATGGTCTCCTGCTGTCTCACCTGCAGGCTCTCCTCTCCTGGCGATCCATGAGGGAGTTCATGCTGTACATCTGCTCTTTGAATACAGCCTCTCTTTCCGATTTCACCTGTGGATCTACACCATGCAGACACATGCTGAAGCCCGGGGTGTAAGCAATGGTCTGGCTGCTGTTCCCACTGCAATGAAAAGTTACAAGGACACACGTTATAGGAAATGTGTGAACCCTAACCTGTCAGAGAACAAGGAAGATCTCTGTAAAGACAATGAAGATGTGTTCTGTGCAAGGCCAAATTTTTGCTTTAAAGCGGCCACTGTACAGCAGGTACACAGAGCTCTCGGGAGCATCTGGGCTCATGCGGTTCAGAGGCAGGCAGCACAGTAAGGAAACTTCTAGGGCAGGTGCCTGCAGGCAGGAGGGGGTTAAGGAGCAGGGCAGCTTCCCTCTGTGTCTAGCACATGCTGGGTCTAGCACACGCAGCTTCCTGGCACAGAGTTACATTCCCAGCCCTCAGGAGTCTGAAGGCCCAGGATAGAGGAGAGGGAGAGAAGGGAGTGAGGAGATTTGTATGTGGCACACAGGACTACCCCAGGAGAGTGCTAATAGCTTCTCCTCCTCCTTCATCCAGGTTGTCATGTGCGAGATCAGTCTCCTCTGAATCACATGGGAGAGGTTGCTGGAGGAATGTGGCCAGAAATCTGGGCCTTACACTGCAATGCTTTGCTCTGCAATGACACCAGACCACTTACTACTGGCTTGGTGTGGGGAGGTGTCTTATCTCACCTTCCTGAAGCACTAAGAACCGTGGGATATGGCCCGAGAAGTCCTAGTCACTCTCACAAGTGAGGACACCGTGCCCTGGTCTACACTAGGGAGTTATTTTGAAATAAACCTGCTTATTTTGAAATAAGAAGTGGAGTGTCCACACTACCAAGCATGTTATTTTGAAATAACGGGCTGGTTATTTTGAAATCTCTACTCTTACTTTTCTCGGGGAATAACATTTATTTCGAAATAGCTATTTTGAAATAGTATTATTGTCAACACTCCACTACTGCTATTTCAAAATATCTACTCCCCAGAGTAATTTGAAGTAATTATTCCCTAGTTTTTCCTGGGACTGTGAGTCGAGGTAGCACGTTCACAATAATAGAGCCTGCCTTGGACTAATTTTGAGACTCCCCCATAGTGGGAAAAGACTGTTTTGATTTTATTTCAGGAGTTATTATTTTGAATTTAGTTATTTTAAAATAATTTCCTCTTGTAGACATGCCTAGTGATTTGAGTGTAGCTTTGCAGTGTGGCTGATTGTACCCAATCTAAGCTAAACCAGGTGTTCTGACCCTAGTGCCAGTCACTCAGGTTAACTCTGCAGTGAAGACACCTAGTACAAGATTACAGATACAAAGATCTGGTCAAACTAGACTACAGGTATAAGGAAACTCCTATAGACTGGAAGGAAATGTGGTGATAAGGAGCCACACCCTTGATACAATCTCCTACCACGCTGCCATAAGAGTGTGATCATGAGGTTCCCAATAACATAATTCTGAAAGGGCTCCATCAGCTGAGGACTTTATGTCCATCAGTGGGAATATGAAGAAGCAGCCTCGAATAACAGCAATTTCTAGTGCACCAATAAAAAAACAATTCATCAGTACACACAGGAGTCTTAGTATAGCAGTGTTTCCATCATGACAATTTCAAAGCAGTGACAATTAAACCGAGAACTCTCAGTATGACAGAGCATCCTTTGCTTTCACTGAGCAGAGAAAACCCATCCTTCAAAGTAGTAACCACACACCTACTAGCATAGAGATGTGTGCAGTAGAAATGGTGATGTATGCAGTAGATGGGGCATCTGGGACATGACCGGATGCATCCCTGTGTCTAACACAGATGGGGGTGTCAGACAGACATCTTACAATGCAGAGCCAAGATCAAGGAACTCCTGCAAGCACACCAAAAGGAGAAGGAGGCAAATAACCAGTCTGGCGGTGTACCCAAAATATGCCAGTTTTATAAGGAATTGGATGGATTCCTGGGTGCGGCATCCACAACCAAATCGCAGAAGACTGTGAAGAGTTCTCAGGGAACTCAGCCGGAAATACTTGTCCTGGAAACACAAATCCAAGTTGATGAAGTGATTGTGGAGGGCCCAGAGGTGATGACAACGTGTAAGTCAGGCAGCAAAGACAGTCCTGATGTTATGGAGGACGCGCAGCAATTCTATGTAGAAGAGATTCAGCATCTTGAGGCAATAGAAGGGATGTAGGGTGCGTTGCTCCTAGGATCACTATTGGCACTTCCACATCCCCAGTGATATTTTCTAGTATGGAAAGAAAGTGCCAGCTTGCAGCTTTCTGAACAGGCTACTGTTCCTGAATATGCATCATGCACCTTTCCAGAGCATGCCACATTTATGTCTGAATCACTCTCAGCGATACACAAGCACCTAAGCACCACGGAGAAGTATCCTTTACTACTGATGTACTCTAAGGCAAGATTTGGGTAGCTCTGTAATTGGGATAGGTGTGCCATTCATTGTCCTGCCCCAGTTAGCAAAGCCCATATCGGCAAAACTAGCCACTATGTCATCCACATTTCCCAGAGTCACAGTCCTAGGCAACAGAATTTAATTCATTGCACCACACAGTTGCATAAGTGCTGCCCTGACCATAGACTTCCCCACTCCAACTGATTTCCAGTAAACAGTAGCAATCAGGAGTAGCCAGCTTCCTCAAAGCAATGGCCATGCACTTCTCTACCAAGAACAGTTCTGTTTCCAGTGTCCTTTTACCACAGTTCCAGGGCTAGCTCAGCACACAGCTTCAGGATGGCTGCTTTACACATCCAAAAGTTCTGTAGCCACTGCTCTTCATCCCACTCCTTCATAACAATGTGATTTCCCACACTCAGTACTGGTTTCCCTAGACCAAAAGCAGTGCTCTCCTCTGCATATCACATCTGTGAGAGCACAATGCAATAAAGGTTCATTTTTTTCCTCATCTGAATCTGACAAGTCATTGTCCTCTGCTAGTAAGTCCATAATTCGGTGTGCTGCAGTGTGTGATGGCTTAATTACACTGATCACAAGAAGGGATAGATGTCTCTGATTTGCACTGTCCTGTGCTGTGCTTTCCTTATCGCCTTGGTGTCTGGTGATCAAAATCTTTGGCTAGGTGCTCTGCCTCAGTCCCCCCACCCTGCCAGAAAATTCCCCCTCCCCTTGCTCTCACAAATATTATGGAGCTCTTTGCCACCACAAAGGGAATGTTGCATTTGCTGAGGTCTGACCTCGTTAGGAGACACCTAAACCTTCCCTTTAAATGCTCAAATTACAATCAACTGCCATTCTGTACTTGCACAGCCTGTAGTTGATCTGCTTCTTACTAGGATCCAGGCTGCCTGTGTACAGGGTCATGAGCCAAGGGAGCAAGAGGTAGGCTGAGTCACCAAGGATCACGATTGGCATTTCTACCTCTCGGATTCTAATTGTCTGGTCTGAGAAAAAAGTTCCAGCATGCATCTTTTGTAAGAGGCAGGAATTCCAAAAGATATGCACATCATGCACCTATCCCAACCATCCCATGTTGATGTCAATGAAACAGCCATTGTGATCCACTAGCACCTGCAGAACCACAGAGAA